TTGAAGTGCCTAGAATAATTCACATTGTTATCTTTCAACAAAAACCAGCATTTTACCCACATTTTACATTCCTACATAATGTTACATATCTAAGGATTTAATCATCTTTTCACTATTTCATTAGTTGCCCTCTAGTGTGCTGTTTTACTTAAGCACAACAGAAAAAAATGGAAGCATGTTTGAATCATAGCAAGCGCATTCTTCAACACTAAGCTTTCAGTGGAAATTCATACTTTTTCTTTGACATACTGTAGCAGCTTTAAAGCTTTCCCACACCTCCATTCTTCTCTCTCTAACATAAGAAAATCAATTTGTAAGGCTTCACTTGAAGGATAACTGATGACAAAATGGCAAGTGCTCCTTGCCACTCTTAGTCATTTACTATCCCCTGAGCTGCTCAGTGCCAGGTCCACTGTATGTCTCCAGTAAATGTCTACAGGAATGAATTAAATAAATGTGGAAGAGTTTCCTCAAGCCTATACATGTGAAAAGGAACCACATGGGTTACACAGGAATTAGGATTGCTGACTGAATCTGAGACCGGGCCCCTTCTGCCTTGCCCTTTCCTACCTGGCCATCTCACAGTTGTTTCCAATGGGCAGTGTCTGCTGGACACTGGTGCACACACATGATATCAGAAACACACAAGTTCACTTTACATGGGCAAGTGCATTAAGGCTTTCCAGTAGGAAAATGATGGCAGCAGGCGGTTGCTGGTAAGTACACCTTCCCCGGTAATATGCTAATAGCACAAGTAATGAAGAGCTTTATAAAATTTGATGGGAATGATGCCTTGCCTGCAAGATTTCTTTTACACAGAGGAATCTGTAGTGTTTTTTAATTCCTACTGCGATGAGCCCAGTAACTCTTGGGCTGCAGGAAGTCCCTCCCAGGGTAAAGAAGGGAGTAAACAAATGACAGTAACCATCAGAGAGACCCCAAACCCAGGGCATAAAGTCCTAGAATTTTGCTCTCAGAAATTCTGCTTTATGTACTATCTGAATGAATTGAACTTGATCTGCTACAACCAGGCCGTACAATAATCGTTAAGCCCATTAACCAAATGGACTACAGGAGGTTGAGTACATCCAGGGAAGGTTTCGACTAGCAGCAGTTAAAAGTGGTGAAAATCAAGAGGCTTCCGGAAAATTTTCTGTCATATTATTAAAACCCAACAGCTGTGAAACGTCACAAAGAAACTGAGCCTGGAGTTCCATCTTGGAGATATGCTCACTTGGGGGAGGGGCAACACTCCTGGAAGGAGTTTGTGGAATTTCGACAGATGTCGCCAGTTGTGTGGCATCTAAGGCTTCAGGTCGCTCTAGGGCTGACTGCTTCAAAGTGTCTGAACGAATGACCCAGAAGCCGAGAAGAGGAGCCGAGAAGAAGCAGTTTAGACTCAGAATGGCCCCTCGCAACCAAGAGCAGTTTCTGTGCAACTTTGGAAACTCCTTGGTGTGTAGAGAGGACAGGGTGGACAAGGGGCGGGGTCAGCGTCCCCAGCGCAGCCTGACGGCGCGACCAAGAGGCGGCGCAGCGCAGGCAAGCCGCCCGGGCCTCAGTTTCCCCAGCGTCTCCCACTCCGCGGCGCCGGGCTCGGCGTTACCTGCAGCTCCGCCCGCAGCCGCTTGTTCTCGGTGTCCAGCTTGGCCTCCCGGCGTCCCATGGACAACAACTCTTGGTTTTTGCTGACTCGGAAGATCTCGTACTCCTTCTTGAGCCGCTCGAACTCGGCCGCAGCGTACTCCAGCTCCGGCACCGACGAGCCGGTGGACTTGAAGCTGGCGCCCAGCAGCCCGCCGCCGCCTGCCGCGCGGGGCAGCGACCCGGGTCCGACCCCCGCCGCGCCCGCGCCTCTGCGGAACGAGTTGCGCAGCAGTCGGGCCTTGGGCTTCACCTCCACCGGGATCTCGCAGGCCTCGCCGCCCCCGGCTCCGTACGTGTCCTCGATCACCTCCCCCGCGGGGTTCACCAGAGACGAAGCGGTCCCCATCGCGCCTACCGGGACGCTGCACCCCCGCTGGGTACCAGGAGGGGGCGGGGCCGGAAGTGGGGGCAGGAGCTGGACGTGGGGGCGGGGCCTAACAGGCCGGCGGGGAGGAGCTAAAGGGAGGGGCGCAGAGGTAGAGGTGGGGGGGGTCTAACCCGTGGGGGCGTGGCCGGGCAAGCGGGGCGGGGCGCGGCTGCCGGAGAGAGGGCGGGGCGTGGCAGCGAGAAAGCTGCGCAGGGGAGAGCAGAACTGGAGCGACAGCGGAATAGGGCGGATCGGAGCTCGGGGCACTGAGAGTCCGCGAGAAGAGCCGGTTTAGCGGGAAGTGGCAGCTGGATAGAGGCGGGAGAGCGAGGTGGGCGGAGCAGGGGCGGGGCAATGGAGAACGGGGAGGCGGAGCGGAACCCGGATTGTGGCGGCCTGGCGCAACAGGAGCTTCTCGGCTTCCTCGGCCCGAACCCAGGCTCCGGCGGGACAGCACCGAGAGCGCGGACTAGAGCCCAGATCCCAGCCGCTCCCACTCCGCTACTCCCTTTATGTTGCCGCTATGGCTCCTGAGGGGTGCTTTCCAGAAGCAGTTTGAGTGCCTGGTGTGCGCGTCATTATAGAGAGCTCGAATGCCCTGGAAGGCATAGTGCCAGCCAAGAAAGACCGTTGAAGAGTCTCTGCCTGAGACCACCAGGAACAAAGGTTTTTATAATGCCTGGCAACAGGGGCACTGGGGACCCTATACCAGATGAAGAGAAAGATAATTACAGTATTTGCAGGAAGGACGTAACTCCTTCCCCAGCTGCAAGGAGTCTAGTGACTTGACATTTTAAGCATCTGTTCCTGCAAAGCTTCCTGGGGCGGACTGTGCTGGCTTACTTGATCATGGGGTCCGATCTGATCCACCAAGTGATGCGGGTCAGGTTTCTTGGGAAGCGGATTCTGAGGTGGAGATAACTATGAAAGATGCCTACCAGGGAAAGCCCTGAGGTCAGCACCCGCGGAATGGAAAGGGAAGAAGCGAAACATGAAGTTGAACTGTGCTCCCGTCGCAATCAACAAGGACCTCAGCCAACCCTGTGGGAGGTTTTGAACTTGGGATGACTCTGAAGAGTTGTCCTAAATTGGTCTGGGGGTTGGGACTTGATACTTAGGCCAGCCATGGCCTCTCTTTAGCTGGAGAAGACTGACAGCTGTTTTGAGAGCCTTCTGCTAACAGTATTTTCAAATCCTTCAGTCATCACATCTACCACAGAACAAACAACCTTTCCTCCAAAGCACTCCGGGAATGCATGC